TGATCCATCACCAATTAACACCTCATCGGTACCATCATATTCAGAATTAATCGACAGATTTGAAAGATCAGTGGTTAGATTGTGAGATGTAGCCAAGTCAACTAACCACTTTTGATTTTTTTTTCTTGGGAAGTTGCTGCTGCACAATCTGCCCGAAGATCATATGAAGACATTTTGGGGCAACTCCTAGCCGTATGGCCCACTTGATCACACCATTGGCATTTGGGCTTGTATTTTCTATAGCCCATATTTGAGAAACCATTGTTGTCGTGCTCGTTGTTGTTGCGAGGCTTGTTGGAGAAATACTTAGGGCTTTGTTTGCGCTGTCCGGGGCTCTTCCTTTTTGTTGTCCAGGTACTTCTCCTTGCCAATGGGAGTAATTAGCAGTTGGGACAAAGGTAGCTACTGATTGGTTCTCCAGCCGTCGAAGGTAATTTTCATGACCTACAAGGAGATCATGTAGTTCTTCAAATTTCAGAGAAGTTTCACGAGCACGAATGGGTACCGCAATTTCTCTAAATTCAGGACCCAATACTGGAGATCAATGATTGCAAGTTCATCGGCCATCACTTTGATTGCTTGAAGAAACTAAGTGACTATGCGATTTCCACGAGTGATCAAGGTCAAATCCTCCTTGAGTTGCATCACACACATTCATGATTTTCTCGCATATAAACGGGTAAGTGCAATCCAGGCCTCATGAGATGTTTTGTATGCATCAAGAAGTGGGGTAATGATAGTCGAAGTTGAAGCAAGGATAGCATAAAGAATTAGTTTATCTTGGCGAATCCAATGGGAACTCGCTGCTTTGGAGGTTGCAGAATTTTCAGCATCGATGGCAGGACATTTACGCGTTCCATTAACAAAGTCGATGAGGTCGTATCCAATCAACAATGCTTCGAATTGGGCTCTCCATTGAGGAAAGGTGGATGGAGTGAGTTTTTCGTTGATGGTAGTGGAAGCATTGACAGTGATAATCGGATTATCGGAAGACCCAAGAATCCCTATCATTTTTCAGAATTATATCTATTTCAGAGACCTGCTCTGATACCATAAAATGGGAAGAACACTGCTACAGGTTTTTGAAAAATTCTGAACTCATAATTTCTATTCGTTCTCAATATTTTTATACAGCAAAAGAAGCCTAATTTTAGGCATACAATAGATGTAACTGAAGAGAAAATTTAGGAAATTTACAAGGCCATAAATTGAAATGTTTACAAAAATAAAAAACTGAACCTAGAATCATGGCAATATTTACTGGGATGGAGGCATAGATTCTGGCTAGTTTACTGTGGCAGGTGAGCTTGAGTTGTTACTTGTTTGACTTCTTTATTCTCCTTGATAGCATGAATGTCCAATTACTTGAAGGGGGCTGAAGGTTCAATTTTTCTCTAAATGCTCGAGGGAGTTGCTGCTTTTGAGGCAGTGGTGATGCCTAGTTTTGAGGAGGCGTTGGGCTCGAGATTGTGGCCATGATGTAGATGGTGATGGGTGTGGTCGGCGAAGGATATGAATTCAAGTGAAATTGAAGCATAATCTGAATTGAGGAGGCAGTGGTGATCGACAATGGGTAGGTAGGTGGTGGATGGTGGATGATAGTTCATGTTATCCTCATATTCATTATTAGTGGATGGTACCGGTGTTAGGTGGGTGAGGTGGAGCCATCTAGTGGTCGTGGTTTTGGATGGATAGTGGTGGATGTGGCGGTTGGGTGGAGTGATTTTGTTTTTGGGGAAAAAGGAGATGGTGATGGGTTGTAGCTTTACTTTTTATTTTTTGTTTTTTTTTTATTTTAGATTTATTAGGAAAAATGTGTTTTATCCAAAATGCCCATACCTTATTTGGGGAAAATAATAAATTTTTTTTTTTAATTTTGGGAATCAACTAACGATTTTGGTAGTCAAACTAACAGAAATCGTCATTTTGGACTTGAGATGCACATTTTTTAAAGGTTTGATACTCTTGGTGGCAAAAAAAATGAAAGGTTTGTATAAAGTCTGCTAATAAACAAAATGTTTGGTACTGTGGCTACAATTTTCCCTTTTTATATATTTATCCCATCATAATTTCTTCAACCACTTATTGCTCAAAAATCACGAAACTTCTTATTCCATCATATTTCACTCCAAAGTAATCGAAGAAGAAGTGTGTAAACGCTTTGTAAATCTAATTAAAAGTGTTTCCACTACAAGAGCAAGATTTATGAGTTAGCAGTAACAAAAGGAACATCTCCCATGTCCCTTACGAAACTTCTTAAACTTCTTATCAGTTTGACTCTGTCATCTGTGAAATTGAGTGATGAACACATTGAGGGGTTTCCTTGTTGGAGCCTACCACATTTGGGACATTCTTATCTTTCTGGACAGTTCTAAAGGAGGAATAATCCAGTGAAAAGTTGAGGAGCTTTTTTTCCATTGCCGCTACATCAAGTGCTCAATCTTATCTCAACCATTTCTCTAGATGATGTAGATGGCCTTTTTGAAGAATGTGTTGGGAATTTACTTAAACATGCACAGCGAAAATAAAACAGTTTCAATTCCCATCAGGATTCATCTTTGTATTTAGATAAGAACTGTGATGAGAATTACACTTTTTCTTGATTTTGCAAACTCCTTTGCGTTATCCTTTTCCAACAAATTGAATCTGCCTCCCACAACTGTCTAATTGTCCAGCCTCCAATGAAATTCACACAAAGAATAGACTACAACTGCTAGGATTTTTTCTCTAGTACCAGCAAGAATAATGAACACAATGTGGATCTCAAACCCTAACCATATATTTATATAAACTCAAATGGGCTCGGCCCGATCCGGTCCAATCTTTAATTAATCCATTTGATTAAATCCGATCCGTAAATTAATTAATTCAATTAATTAATTTGAGGATATAAATAACCAATCAAATTAATCAATTTATCCAACGATTGTTAAATTAATTAATTGACAATTTGCAATCTTCCAATTCTCTTTTGTTTGACACCCATTAGGTTCCCGACCACGATACCTAATGACGTGAAATATTATATTGATCTAATCAAAATTGATAAATTAAACACCCTTTTAATTTATCACAAATTTATACTCGCCGTCCCAGATTGACATCTAGCAATGTATCAGGGCAACACATGTGATGGGAAATGTCACGTGGTATGACTAAGCAAAAACTGTTCGTCTACTATGAAACTATAATCCCTTCGTCAATATGATCCAATCAATTACGAGATATGGAAGTGTGTCAATCTCGATTATCGATCATATCTTTCATTCTACTATTAAGTCAATATGAGTCGAAAAGTCCTTTTCGACTTATGTGTATACCTTGGCCAAAGATTTCGTTATTGACTTAATTGAACGAAATGCAGATCACAATCTCTTACTATCTAAAAGTGACGAATCCTCAATTGGTCATTCACAACCTTTATATGGTTCTTGACATACTCAAACGATGTCGTATTAGCGGCCCTTGGTAGAGCAACATACAACACCGTCAAAGTATGACTGTCCTCATACAAGGCACTATGATGACCTCAAGTCATAGGACCAATTCCACTACCGAACGTTAGAGATTAACCACTGACACTCAAATAGTTATTCATGTGGAATCTCTTAGCGGTTCTCCAATATTTTGTTCTATAACAAAACACCGACGTGTTCATTTAAGTGTCACCACACTTTAGCTTGTGAAGTCAGCTATTTACTTCACAAGTAAGAAATGCCACACGTGATGGTATATCTGTAATAACGATATCCGTATCTCATTATTACTTACGATCATGGATTATTCAAGATCCAATCACACGTAATTTATATCTCACAATCACAACTTCTTATAATTAACAAATCACTTAAACTTGAATTTTCGGACTCTATTATTTAATATTATTTATCACAAAATTAATTTAAATAAATAATAGATCTTGTCAAACTTAAATGCATTAAATATATTAAAAGTGTTTACAACCTAAATCGATTGGATTTAGGGCATAATACTTACAGAATGCATGGGCATGATCACAAAATGTAGTTCTATAAGTCGTATGCAAAGACAAGCCGAAATGAGGTTTGCCCACAGTTTTGACAATACGTACAAAGCTGTCAAGTTAGCACTATAACAGTGAGTAATTTTTGTGTATATGCATAGATTATGGGGTGTAGGATTGAATGGGGGTGTGGGATTGAACTTCTTTAGATGAACAATCATTTAATTTATTTAGATAATTTGATTTAGTGTATTTTGCGGATGAATTCAGAGTAATATATTTCCAAAATTTGTATCATTTTGCGCCAAATCTTACACCAAACCAAAATTTGTCTCCAACCATTATACCAAATGAATAGTGTTTTACTATTTTATTTATTCACTCGATTTTTGACAATGTATTTATTTAAAAAAATTATTTGTTTATTCATTTATTTTATAACTATATAAATTACTAAATCATAACTTCGTTAAATTAACAAATATATTGAATTATTATTGATTACTATATTATTCACATGTTTTATCTATTATGTTAAATTGACGAAAATAATTGATTATATTATTAATTTATTATAAGCAATTACGTTAAATTTACAAAAATAATTATTAAATTAAAAAATCCTTAATTATTATTAATTATATTATTAAAAATAATAAACTTTAATAATATAATTAATAAAGTAATTAATTAATTAATATTATTATTATAGAACGAAAAAGACACAAATACCCTTAACCATTATCTTTAAAAAATGAAAAAGAAGGACAAAACAGATATTGCAATATTTGGTGCAAAAAATGGTGCAATGAACGGTGTTGCACCGAACTATTCATGTTGCACCATTTTGCACCTGGTGCAACGGGTTGGACAGAGGTTTGCACCAAATTTTGGTGCAATTTGACACCCATTGGAGATGGTCTTATACCATTCATCTTGCCCACATATAGATTACATACATAGCTTTTCGAATTCTGATTTTGAATCAAAACCCTAAAAATTCCAAATTACTGCACGGTTGTGTTGCCCTCTTCGCTTAAGTAGTTCAAAAAGGCCAAGCTGTTTAGATACAAGAAAACTTATTATGTAATAATCATGTTATATTTGCCCTTCCTTTTTTGCTTGCAGATATCCTCCAATAGTTTCTCTTGATTGCAGCTGTCAAGTATTCTATAATTATTTCGAGTTGAATAATTTATAATGTCAATTCAAATCCATTAGCGAACATTTCATTCATGTCTACGAAAGAAGCCACCATCCTATTTTTAGACACACCAGTGATCGTTTTAATTTTCAGCCTACAGCATCTGTTCACGTTCCCAATAGAATTCCTCAACTTTAATTTGACCACCCCAGCTTAGAATGTTTCAAAGACACTGACCATAATGGTCTGCTGATGAATTTGATTTTAAGATCATTTCACTGAAGTTCAAAATGGTGATTGCAGGTAGCAGGAACCCGGATGTTTCTCAACTGAAGCCTGGCTTTTGGGAATCCCATCAGATCAGGGTAAATGGAAATGTCTGCTAATTGTTTTTAATTGTCATTTACATATATTCAAAACTTCTGAGGTCCAGAAACTCCAGATATGGTGACCATAAACTTCAACTGAATGTCTTCTTCTACGTGCATACAATCAGTATAACGCAAGACATTGACTAGGTCAACTGAGCCCAACTTAACGAAGTATCCCAACTCCCACAATGGTGTTTATTATTTTCTTAAATAAGCTTGGCACTTACATATTACAGGGGCTAACAGTTAACCTTCCTGATTGTTTTTGTAGTTAGCATGTGTTATGCTGCATATATAAATCTCAATATGTAAGTCCTTAATTTGAATTAAAATGGGAAAGCAGCAATAGCACCTGAAAATTCTGTCTTGCAGGATTTAATGAACAATACAAGTTATAGAACCACCTTCCACTACGGAAGAAGAGAAGGAGCCATTGCCTGAGGAGTTTGTTCTAGTCGACCCTACCTGATGGGACAAATATTTTCTTGCAGTGGGAACGTTGATGTGCATGACCTCCAAGCCTTATGTGATAAGGTCATTAAACTAATCCCTTTCTCTTCCACACATTTAGTACTTGAGATGCTTTATGAGCAAGGTAAAATATTATTATCCCCAAAGGAACACAGTGTACAACAGTACAGAGTTAACATCTTAGAGAACCAACCAAGACCATACTAGTCCATTTTAGGTTGATTAGTTCTGAGATTTTGTCAAATTTTTCCTCCCTCCCAACTCAACATATGGCTCTGTTCTACAAGAAGAAGGTTCCCAATGGAAAAGGTATAATAACATTTATTATGGAAAGAGTAAATCAAGCCATCTTCACTGGTCGCCAGAGCTACAAGATTCCTTGACTTAATCAATCCCATTTTGAATAGTACATCTTTCCATTAGAGAAATGAAACCAAGGTCAAGGGAGCCTAGTCCCGTCACCACTATGTACTGCTCCTTGGCCCAATGACAGGCTTAAAGCACAAGTTAGTGTCTTTCTTAAGTTTTCAAATTTTGAGAAAACATGCAGCTGCAAGTTTTACACACCAAAAGTTCCTATATTTGAGGTACCTTGACTTCAAGATGTCTTCTTGAGAAAAGATGCTATATCAGTCTCATGTGGAGGCCTTTTTCAATTGATGAGACAATTTAAACTTTTGACAGCCCTCATTCTCAGAACAACAATCCTTGTTGTTATTAACTTTGAACCCTGAACTCCCTCCACACCTTTTCAGAAGAAGTTCTCCTCGTCAATCTGTTTCATTCTTGGAAGCGGGAATACATTATCCTGATAGACTTAATAGAGGATAGAATAGACTGTAAAAGCTAAGCCCAAATGCGGAGGAAATTGTCTTGTTTGCCCAAGATATGAGCCTGAAAATTATATGTCTATTGTGGTGTTGAATTCAACAGCTAAGGGTTTGGAAGTGATAAGGGGAACCCATAAATATCTCAGAGGCATGTTACCTTAAACCTCGGTTTCTCTAAAAAATTCAACTTTTCTCGTATTAATATCAACTTCTGTGAAGAAAATTTCAAATTTCAACCTACTTGTGTCTAGCATAGCTTTATTTACGTTGGGCATACAAAATTATTTTATAACGAGCTGAATTGAAGAATTGACCCTACGGGGGGAACGAAATCAAAGAAGACTTGCAGAGAACCTCTATTTAGTTGTCTATCTAGGGCGAGTTGAAAGCCTGGTTGCATGTGACTGAGTGGGGAGAAGGGGGCGAAGAGATCCTCAACTTTCACTTTGATCTTGGACTAGAACTTTCATTGCAAAATTGCACTTTTTTTCATCTTTCTTTTTCTAGTAAGATTTCAATATCATCCTTCGTGAATCTTTAATCCCCATGTTCGTCTAATGAGAAGGACGACAGACCCACTCACAATCTACTAAAGGACAAGTAGCTTGATTGGTTCGAGTCCAATTCATGAGAAGACGATTTCGAGCATAGAGAGAGAAAAGAAGAAAAAGGAACTCTTTAACTGTCAAAATGATTGAGTTTAGGTGCATAGCGCTTAAAAAAGTGGTTGAGGAGCAGCTTTCGGTCTAATCATACTAAGCAAGATCCTAGAACTACAAGATGATATCTTAGAAGCTACTTCTCCTCACTGGCGGACCCAACGGGGGTCCTTTAGGGTCAAGTGACCCCCCACCTTCCTTCCCCCTTCTTCTTTCTTGATCATCTCATTGTTGTCCTTTTTTTTTTTTTTTTTTTTTTTGGTTTTTGTTTTTGTTTTTGATAAGTCCTGTTTGATATCATTTGAAATTTAAATTTAAATTTAAATCAAAGTCAATAATTAATTTTAATAGCATATTTCATTAAATCCTTAACTTTTTAATTTTTATCAAAATTTACTAAAAATTTGATTTTAACCCCAACCAAACAGGTGCAAAAATCAAAATCACAATAAATTCGATTTTTTTTTCTTTTCTCTTACTCCATCTTACTCTCTCCTTTACACCTTTTACCAAAATTTTAACCATTCTAATTTTTTAAAATTTGTTTATAATTTTTCTACAAATTACCACATCCACTACAAATTTTCACTTTTCAATCAAATTTTCCATTAATTAGAATCTAAATTTGCATTTTCCCTATCCTGTTTGAGTACATAAAATGTGTCTGAAATGATTATATTTAATTTAACTTATATTTAACGAATTTTATTTATTTATTGAATATTTGTTATGTGTTTTTCCTTTCGATTACTTAAATTGATTAAACATATTAAATACACGATAAATTTTTTAAACATAAATATGAATTTTCTTGTGATGTGCAGAATATTAATAAAATGATTGTTCAAAATCAAATGGAAGAAAATTATGAGCGAATATTAATGAAGAAATTTTTTTAAATGTAAATTTGCATTTTTTCAGATCAAATATAAATTATTCAAAAATCAGTAACAAAGTTTTCAATTTGTAAAGAGTTTGATTGTGTCCAATTAACTAAAAATTACTGCGTCCGCCCCTGTTTCTTCTAACGACAAGTAAAGGCATACCCTCCAATGAAGGAGAGTGGCTTTCCCTCTATCAAAAAACAAGAATGGAAATCACAACGGCAAAGGGGAATGCTCAACCGCGTTGAGAAAAGACGCAGTAAGATTCAGATGGATTGGCTGGAATTTGGAATAGCCCATCATATAGCTTGAACGCTCGTAAAACTTTCTGATCGGTTTTGGGGTTTTCTCATTATTTGAGCCCTGACTTGTAAACTTACAGCAACTTGCCAAACAAAGGCCTAAAAAAAGAAAAAGGGTATGACTGGCATAACATCTACAATTGGATTCAAAAAAGAATAGGCATCGGGCAATTTGCCCAAGAAAAACCTACTCGAATAAAGGGCAGAATTAAGACAAATACAGATGGAACCAAAGATATTAAGCAAAACAGACATATAATCAAATATTGATAAGGGGGTGAAAAGAAAGCTTTTTTGTGTTGAATATAGCTGATCTGAGGAGGAAAAATTTTACTGTATATCAAATAATTTGTATCTTGTGAAACTGACCTGGATTAAACTTATTTGACTTTGCTGCCAATAACCCAATTGATTCACAAAATCTTGGTATGGTGAATATTTGGAAGTTAGGTCTGTTTACCTATTTTGGTTGCCCATCTCCATCGATAATTATTTGCTTGAGGCTAGTTTTGGTTTTTGATATTATATATCTAATTTCTGTGCGGAAACATAAATCGCTACGTAGCTTCTTCCCATGTTAAATTTGATAGGTTGGTCGGCCTCGAAGGCCACTGACAAAGCTAGCTGCTGCTCTGAGAAATAGTTACATGGTGACTACTTTGCACTCTAAAGAAATCAGCTGGAGAAGGTATTTAGTAATAGCCTTTTCATGTTCGAATTAGCTTTTCCCCAAACTGCCTGTCTATTATGATTTTTTCTTAGTAAAACTGATTCTTAACCTCTGTAAAATGAGTATTACGGTTTGTTTCAAACTAAGTGACGGACGTCTTAGTGTACGTGCGGAAGTTACTTGGCAGAGGGGAATGCCCAAAAGAACAGTGCCGGCCCTGACAATAGGCGGGGTAGGCGATCGCCTAAAGCCTCACTTTGATAAGGGCCCCAAAAAAATTATTATTATTTTATTTTACATATATATATAGGGTCTCATATTTCAAATTGGTCTAAAACCCCCAAAATCTCAAAACCGGCCTTGCAAAAGAAGTTGATAGGAATGGCCCGAGCTACATCAAACCATGCTTTCAATGCAACTATTTGGGATGTTCTTGTTAATCCTTCCTATCGGGTACTCTCTGCCATAATTTTATGCGGATGGATGTCCTCATTTGATCAAAGGATCAAGTGATATTGCTTCTTGCTATCTATTTAAATTTTATACAAATGCTTTCTTGCATTACATTGCTTTGGATCGCTACTATTGGCAGCAATGATCATGCATGCTTCATTTATGTCGATTCTATTTGTATTTATTAACGTACAAAATCTGGTTTGAAGCTCTAGAAGAACTATCCTCTTTGAGAGCCTAATGGTACCCTACTTATCATTATTCAAAGTTCAATGGGGAAAAGATTAATTTCTTATGTTGGACAAGAAAGTAATATGGCGAATCTTCGAATACAATTCTTTTTGCTACCCCGTGTTATCGCTCCTTTCATCTTCTTAATATGTTTATGGATGTTAAGTCCAAGTTTGTCATCCTTTAAAAATTTAAATTATTTACTATAGTACCATTTTCTACCTCCACATTCACACAATAAAATATTCTACACACAAACCAAAAAAGTTTAACCACAGATTCTCCAAAAGACATTATTCAGTAACTCATTATTTTCAAATAACTCTTTCTTGTTACTGTTGAATTATGAGGTTGCAGATTGACAATTTTACTGATTACGTTGGGCCAAGGGCTGAAAAGCCCTCATTGAGAAGCTTATAGGAGCACTCTTGCAACAGGACATTGAAAATATTTTGCTGTTTGCAGATGGTAAAGGTACATAAACAAGATCTTTGAGGTCCCTTCATCTGTAGCAAATATTTGATTTTTGAGGTCAACAGTCATTGCAATAATCGGACTTCTAATTGCTAAAACAATAAAATGCCATTAAATCTCGAAGTTCTAGCGTCCATTTCTAAATACGTAGGTTTGTTACTCATGCAAAGGAACTATTTGTTGGCAACTTGGACAACTTATAACGATGTTCGTCCTGCATATCATAGCAAGATCAGGATCTTTACAAAAGGCTTTAGGGGAAATATTCACAGGGTCAATACAGGGGCACATTTATCCCCCTGTAATTGAATAATCCAGGACTTCTAGTGTCGATTTCTAGGACCAAGTTGTTTCTTACATTCAATGCAGTTGTGGAATTCTACAAGAATCTGGATTTTGAGCCCGATCCAGAAGGCATCAAAGGCATGTTTTGGTACCCAAAGTATTAGGTTTGCTCCATTCGGCAATCACCATCACTGCTAACAATATTGGGTTGTGTTACAAGGTACATGTACGTACTCGATTAGTACAGGAAACATATAATTTCCTGTAATTAAAGGTTTCTTTCTCTGCTCCAATGATGTCGACGTACATATCCTTGGACCATTTTGTAATTCAGCATGTTCAAATGTATTAAACCATCTCAAATTGAACAAATTACCTAGTACGCAACACGATATTTTGGTGTAATTGCAAGTGTAAACACCAATCCACATTCAAATGTTTGTATTAATGTTGTTCAGATTAACAAAGTCTTAACAAGGCACGACAACTGAATAAAATTGGTAGCACAACAACATAATTAACACTAACAGTTTAAAAAAGTTTGAAACTAACTTGGCGCTTCACATTAATCATATCCATTCACAGCCCAACAGCTTAATCTGTTGACAGTAAATCAATTTGGTACAAAATGAGCTACTGTAACCTTGACAGCAGCCAACTATAATTTCGAATAAAGTGACTGATCCTAGGAACCCAACTTTGACACTGCCTCTTCACCAACTAAAATCCTAGATATACGACGTCCAAAGCCTGTGGATTTATATGTGAAAACCACACGCTGACATATAGGGTTAAGTGGACAGTATCAGCAGAAATTGTTTCAAGATATGGGCAACCAATCTTAAGTTAGAATTTTCATAAACAATAAATATTTACACGGAGCTATGGGCTAGTATTTCTAAATCGATGAGAACAAAACCGATAACTTCTGGTAAGGAAGCCAGACTAGTTACCTTGGAAATGCAGAAGGTCAATTATAATGATCCATGTTGAAAGTGCTCCGAAGATGTATCCTTGTTACGTCTTGACTGGTCAGATACCCGGAACAAAAATGTGAGATCTTCCACTGTCAGACGAGTTGCAGTTCCACCACTTTGATCATCACCAAAAGCAGATGCAATCATTTTTCTCTTGTCCTCCTGAAGATACAAAATAACAGTTAAAAAAGACTCAACTCTTAAAGATGAAACTATTTAGTAATGTTAAAAATAGAAGAATTAAAGAAAAGCTTAAAAGATGACAAGCAGGCTGAAGCAGCATCTCTTTTGGCAAACAAATGAGAGAGTTCATTTATTTGGGCTCTTCTTATCTCATTTCTAACAGCTTTAAAATCTACTTTGTTAGCATATGCCTCAGATTATAATCTACGAAACACCCCCATCCCCACACCCCTTCTGGCCTCAACAAATTAACAGGCAAATCAAACAAATCCTCTTACCAAAAAGGGAAAAAAGACAAGCTGTAAATCTAATAATCACATTTTTTCCAGCTGATTTAGTTCCAAACCAAGTCAAAATTGACCTCAGATCTTGATAAAACAGGAAAACAATAGAGTACAAATATTAGCATGTCCTTGAAATGGTAAAGAACATATAGAAGATAACAGAAAATTGATAGAGTGATTTCAAGACATTGAACAGACTAATTCTGTACAAGAAAGGAGCAAGCCCCAGACACGCAATGATCAAATAAATACCATAAATTATAAATTTTATTAATTGAAATGCAATTCTTAATGCAATATAGGAGGCAATTACTCTAGTCAGAGCAAATGGAAGAAACAGACATGATCAGCCTCATTATGGAGTGAGGCTCAGTAGTGCTGGATCGAATTAATAAGCTCAGAGAGAAAATTAATTTGTGATATACAAATGATGTAATTAGAGGAAGAAAAAAAAAAAAAAAGATTGTCATTCAATAAATGAGAATATTAAAGAGGGACGTATCAGTCAAGGATAGATGAAATATAAATCAGGAACAAATGAAAGATCAAAAATTATCATAATACAACTTTTATCCACTTTCTAGCATAATCTCAAACAACCACACTGGCATGAAGCTAACAATAAATGGATAAACTGGTAAATTGTATGAAGTATAAAACTACCTGAAGAGCTAGAATTCGATCTTCTACAGTATCCCTAATGGTTAACCGTGACACAGTAACCGGACGAGTCTGTCCTATTCTGTGGGCTCGATCAACAGCCTGATCTTCAGTTGCAGGATTCCACCAAAGATCCAAAAGGATCACGCGACAAGCTGCAACCATGTTTAGACCAAGATTTCCAGCTTTTAGTGACATCAACATAACCGACACCTGCAAAACCCAATTTTTATATGAGGAAACAGTCCACTAGAGTCAGCAAAGCAAGGTCTAAAGACAAGATCAAAATAAGATGTGGTACTCCAAGGAAACCATATTGGCATCTCAAAGCATGCCTAGTGGAATATGTCGAGATAACATATAGGTGTTAATTAGAGTCCATTAACCTTCTAGATTGGAAAACGAATTTACGCAACAAATGCTGCACACATGTCAAGGGGTACCCCCATTCAAGATCCCCTAAATGGGTGCATGAAGCACATACATACAAAAGTTTTAAGAAAAACTAATTTACGATCACACACATTTTTGTAGGGTATATTTACTACAAAGAAAAATCTAAAGCCAAAAAAGACCTTTGAAAATGCTTATGCCACAGTGAAAAACTAATTTGGAGAAAGTAGTACGGTTATAAATGATCGTGGGAACGAGTATTTTTCCAATATCTTGGCAACTTTCTCTAACAGAATAACGGGGGTGTCCCCATTTCAGAATTTAATAGATTTCTTAATATTTATAAATTCTCATGGATTGTGTGAAATTTAATGAATTTAATAGATTTCATAAGATTTGAATGAATTTCTATTTTGTAGATTTTAAAAGATTTTCACGGATTTTATAGATTTCAATGGATTTTATAGATTCTGAGTAAAATTTATAAATATGCTTAACATAAGCAAATTTTACTTCTTCTTTAACGACTCATTTTTACACATATGCATGTTAATAAATCACAGGAAATGATCGAATTCTTGTTCAATTGTTTGTTAAACATTGAATATTATAACAAAGCTTCAATAAAAAAATACACCCAATATTCAACAAAATGTGAGAGTGGGAGAGGACAAAAATATGTAGTGTTAAATAATCAAGTCGTAATCAATATGAATTAGTTCAAAAGGCCACAACCTTGTGAGATACAAACACACAGATGTACACATACATGACCACAAGGCAATTAATTTCATACCCCCAGAATTCTTATTGACCATGCAGACACAAAAGAAAAAATTGTGGGATACCATCCTCACATGTCTAGGCTAGGATTTGCAGGTATATATAGAAAACACACAGCTCTTCCCAAGAAAAATGAATAGGGTACAGAACTTGAAAAATGAAGTTGTTCCAGTATGCATACTAGAAATTGTAAATTACCATGATAATTTTCAGCACATCTATAAAATAGTAAACAATATATAGCTTCAATAAGAAAAAATAAGTTCAATAAAAAATCACACTCAATATTCAACAAAAAATAGTAATCTTTCATAAATTATCATCAATTGAAAAGTTCCCATACACGATCTTTTCACAGTAGAGAAATGTGAGATAGAAAGAAGAAGAAAATTTTTTCAAGATGGGGGGGGGGGGGGGGGGGGAGGGGGAGGGAG